ACCATGGTCAAACTCTGATTTAAAACTCTAGAAGAAATGAAATCATGAAATCCGATGGACCAGAGGCTGAAACGAAACTAGCAAGGCAAGGGAGGAGGAAAGAGAAAGTGGTCTGAATGGTGATGAACACATGGGGACCGCTGCGGAGGAGAACTAAGGCTCCAGCTGAGCAAGGCCTTGGTGTTGTCCTCAAACCCCTTCCCGCCACTTTGATTTAAAACTTTGCACCTTAAAAGAAGTCATTTCATTCTCCTTAGTCTGTTTGATAACCGCAGATGAACCCCAGGGCCAGACTCTTGACTAAATTGACTTTCTATTTCTTAAGTCAAGATTCAGTACAGGTAGTGTACCTGAAAACAAGACCACTACTGTGCTTGCATGAACTGCACAAATGTATAAATAAGTGACAAAAACAAGCCTTGAACTTAAAAACTACCCTTGCAGAGCTCTTCAGCCAGGATGACCACATAACCACGTGTGCTATTATTCCTAACAGGACCCTTCCCTTCCAGCCTCCTCCTGCTCCAATCCACCCTGTCCTAGAGCTTGGCCTTTCAGAGTGCTTCCAGGGACCAGCATCTGGAAATTTGTTCCACATGCAGGATCTCAGGCCACACCCCACATCTGCTGGCCCAGAATCTGCATTTTAATAAGATCCCAGGTGAGGTGGGTGCACACTACATTTTGAGAAGCACCAGTGAACTTGAATTACAAATCTTACCATATTTTTCCCCAGCTATAACACCTTCAAAGACTGCTGGTGCTACCAATGCAGTCCAAGTTTGTAACCTGACACTTGGGCTTCTGTGACCCAAATCCATTTCCCTTTCTATCTGATGTCCCAAGTTCTCTCCTCTCCCAAGACCCTCCAGCCATATCAGTTCTTCATGGCGCCCCACCTCTACCCCAGTGCTGTTGCTTACGTGGTTGATCCTTCAGGGATAGCACTCCCTTCTCTATCCCATGGCAAACTTCGAGAGTCAGCTCTACCTCCACCTCCTCCATGAAGCCACAAGTCATATTCCAGTGTCTGACTTCCTGCAGGGTTATGTCAGACCTCCTAGGAGACTTAGTCTTTTAATATTCCCCCCTCAAATTGTTACTTATAACTACCTTAGAGCATAAAATCTTCCCTGATTAATTTTTCACCTTGCCAATGTTCTGTATAGTAGGGACTCAATAAATAGCTTATTAAATGTTTGAATATATGGACTTATACATGTATGCATGAATAAATGAATATATTAGCACACATCTTTAAACACCATGCATTAATATATGAAAATACTCCTTGAATTTATGGTACTCACTTCAGGTTGGATTCAGGTTGCTACCCTAAAACAAAAATGTTACTTTCTAAAAGAAAAAAAAAAGATAAAGATTTCTAACTCCCATAACCATTTAACCATAAGGTATCTTGCAGAAGCAATCACATAAATTTCATACTAACAAATGAAAATTTTTATAGTGGTTGTAGAAGAGGCATGAGAAACACTGAGTCAAAATGAGAGCATTTCCTAGGGAGAGGGGAAACTATTCAAAAGGGTAAAATTATAGTACTTTCTGCAACTAAATTTCTCACCAACGTTAGATGAATAAACTCCTTCTGGAAATTACTCTTAGGAAATTACTTCTTCCAGGACACTAAATAGTATATTCTGGTGCCCCTAAAAAATTAATTAACCTTACTTATAACAGGCTCACCCCTCAACCATTGCAGTGTGCTTTACTGTGGGCTGGGTTAGTCTCCTCACCTTCATTTACATCGAAGCCACGGTGACCTAACTCACACTGGGCTCTACTGGCTGATATTTTGCCTGTGCCATTTCTGTAGATAATATTCCACTCATGTCCAGATGTATGGATTTTTTTTTTTTAATGACAAACCTTTGAGATTACGAGGGAGAAGTTTTTTTTTTTAAACATTTTTGTGGTGGAGATGGAGGAGAAGGTGCAGCTGTCACCAGAGAGATGATGGGGTAAATGTAAATAATGTACAATATAAGTCTGATTGGAATTGTCACTTTGAATCCCCCTAATGAAAAATTTATATAGATTAAAAAAAAACACAGCCAAAGTGACAAGGTGGATGAACACAGGCTGCGATTCTGTCATCAGTTCCTTTCTGGCATTTACTTGTTCCTGAGAAGGCCACAATCTGAGATTGGATTACTGGGCCACAGCAGGTTTTATTAAACCATTCTCCCCTTTTGTTTATCTAAAATATATCCAAAAAGTATACTTAACTCTGTATCAGGACCCAATAAAGAGTTCCTGAAAGTGTCACAAGTGTCGGGAGGTGGCTAGGGCCTCTCATTACATGCTGTGGGAGCAGAAGCTGCCTTTAACTCTAAGATTCTAGAACATTCTGGGAGACTTTTGTTTTTTCTTTAAGAGCAGACTCAGAGCATGGTCATATTCATAAAAGATTTCTGAACTAGCCAAGAATAGGAAAATATTATTACAAATAATAGTATTTATTCTGTGCTGTTTTAGTAAAGCAAATTAACACCATCAATGCTTATTAATAACAAGACACAGGTCAATAATGACGGCTGGTACAATGCATCATGACACAAATAGTATGGAAAAAATTTTTTCTCTAAAAGATGACAGTGTTGCTTTGTAGAAAAGATTGCTAGACCCCTGAAAACGTGTTTCCCCCCTCTTTGGCCTAAATGGGACATTTGTCTTCCTTCGTTAACAGGTCTCTGATGGGCTTTGTCCTCCTGTATATGAAGCTTTCAGTTGGAATTAATCAGAGCCACGATGCAAGGAGGCCAGCCAGACGCTGACAGCCGCCCAGTGAATGCGTCCTTCTTCCTGCCCAGCACTGGAAGGGGGGTGGAACAATGAGCGCTAATGATGGAGCCCTGGAAGTTATCATTCAGAATCAGTGCAACACTTACACCGAGCCTGTGCAAATCAAGCCAGGCTCGCACTCCACTTCAATCCAGCAGGCCCAGGCTCACCTGTAGGCCCAGCAAGGCCACAGCCCACCAGGGGCTTGGATCTCCATGTGGACACTGGATGTTGGTATGGGACAACCACTAGCCAAGACATGGTCTGGGGTGTGCTATGAGCCAGCCTTGCAAATGGCCACTGCTGCCAGCTGGGAGAGCCAGCCTTGCAAATGGCCACTGCTGCCAGCTGGGAGAGCCTGCCTTGCTTTCTAGCCAGTGTGGAACCCGCCAGAGTCAGGGGCTCGCTCCAATAATTCTCCTCCACATACACACACAGCTGTAGAGATGCATGAGAGAGCCTTACTGAGTAAAACCACCCATCTGACCAAATGACTCCTAAGAAGTAAGAGCCGTTGTTGGTTTAAGCCCTAAGCTTTGAGGTGGCTTGTTACACAGCAGCCACTGACCAACACAGCTGCTTAGTTCATTCTGATAAAAGCATAGATAACAGTAAAATAGGCTAGGCCAGGATGATATTTGGACACATGACAGTAGAACACCTCTGAGGATTTTTGAGTAGGGTACAAATGTGATGGAAAAGTATCCAGAAGGTTCATCCTGCCAACACAGTGTGAAAATGGGAAGGAAGAAAGGACACGCTGGGAAGCAAGGGGTCCAGGAGGGGAGCCTGCCGATGAGTTAATGAGGTTCTGAACCAAGCCTGAGGTGGGAGGGAATTAGGTACAAGAAATGCCACAGACCAGATGCAGATAGAGAAGGGAAGTTGACAGTGGTCCATGAAGGTTTCAAGCCTGAGTAGCTGAAAGGATAACAAAAAAAGGAAGAAGCAGGGAGATGTGGTGAGGCAATCCTTGAGAAATCTACCAGACATTAATGAGAAAGTCCAGGCTCTTGGAAATACAGGATTGTAGCTGCAGATGGAGCTTCGTGTGTTACGGAGCTCACGATTGAAGGTATGATTCTGAGCAAGAGAGGATAGAGAAGAAAAGCAGATGTTCGAGGAAAGAATCTAAGCGTCCCCTGCTGGGAGCATTAGTCACTTACCTATTGCTGTGTAGCAAATCATTTAAAAACCTAGTAGTGGAGGACTCAGAAGTCTGGGGACAGTTTAGTTAGATGGTTCTGACTAATGATCTCTCATCAAAATGTCCACTAGGATGGTCATCATCTGAAGGTTTGACTAGGGCCACTCATGGCTGGCACCTAGAGGCGTCAGCTCCACACCACATGAATAGCCTGTGGGGTTGCTTACGTGCTGTCATGACATGCAGCCAGCATTCTGAAGAGTGAACAACCAGAGAGAGAGCAAGGCCCGGGTCACATGTCTTTTATAAGCTAGTCTTAGAAGCCATACCCCTTCACTTCTACAGCGCTCTATCAACCACACAGACCAACCCTGCACAACATGACAGAGGATTACCCACGGGTGTGAATACTGAGGGGTCGGGATCATTTGGTGCCATCATGGAAGCTGGGTACGACATTAGGGGTGGAAGAGGAACACAAACAAAACTTGGGAAGGTATGAAGGAGATTTTTGATGGGAAAACAAGACTGCTACATGGGAAGAGATCTGGTGCCTATAGCTGTTCCTCATCTGGTTCCATAGTTGGGTCTTTGATCTCCTCAAATCACCCTGCCTTCAGAACTGTGGTCCTGGTGGAAAAGAGCACTACATTCCACTGGACCATTCCCAACCACTCACCACATCCAAGCAGTGTACCAAGAGTTCCCTGAGGTGGCACCTTCATGTCACCATTTTGTTGGAGGAAAATGAGGCTGAGTCACCAGCCCAAGTTCTCACAGCTGCTATGACACAGAGCTGGAATATGAACTCTAGGTGTTCAACTCCTGAGTCCTCATTTTCGGCCTATGCCACTGTGCCTGGAGGGCAGAGGTCTGCATTCTTCCGCTGGGACCTCCCAACCAGATGAACCCAGGTAATCAACAAGAGGAAATGGCGGAAGGCCCCAGTGGAGCCATAGCAGCTCTAGGAGGGAGGGGACTGCTGTCCCATGAGAGTTCCCTCTGTGGGAGGCACAGGCCAGTCAAGTCAGAGAAAGCGAGGCATGCTCACCATCCTTGGGATCCGTTTGCTTCTCCATGGGCTGCTCGGCAAACTTCAGCAGTGGCGATCTTGACCTCTGGATGGTGGGAAGAGTGGGATCACTAAATAGTATGGTGTCCTTGCCCCCTGCCACAGAAAAGGGGAAAACAGATCTGTTATGTCATCAGTGGAGCTGGCGCACATTTACTCCCACACAATGAACTGGCTGGGTAGGAATCTTCTTTAAGGACAGGGAAGACAGAAGGGAAGTGACCCATAAGCACTCTCTAGGATGAGGATGGAGCAGTGAGGCCCAGGACTGAACGACTATGAAGAGAGACCTTGACTCATCCCTGAGAGTCTGCTTAGGAATGGCTGTTATAAATCCCACCACTGAAGGGCAGCTTGCATGTGCGCCAAAAAGTGACTAGGTAAGACACTAGCAATAACAACCATAGCAGGAACTCAGGAGTGTGCCTTTGGAGCTACACCATACTCTTTGTGCTCTGGGCAGTGCCACTTGCTAACTAACTGGGTAGCATCTAGAACGTTACTTCACCTTGGTGGGCCTCACATCTCTCATCTGTAAAATGAGGAACAACAGCCCCTCCTCATTGGATGGTTGTGAAGATGAAGTGAACTGACCACACAAAGGGCCTGGGTGTTTCGTCAGCACTCAGAAATGTCTCGTTTTAGTGGTGACTGTCATATGCACTATATCTGACTTAATTCCATCTGGTCACTTTGATAGGATGACGGTCACAAGGCAGGGAAATGCTCTGCTTCTGTGTGGCAACCAGCCTTGCCAAACCCTCTGTCTTGGTGAACAAAGAAGGGGAAGTGTGGGCAGGGGCAGCAGCTTATGATTCCCGGTCTCCTCACAGGTATTCTTTGTGGGCAATGTCTCATTGGCCCCACCCAAGCATAGGGTCATCCCACATTCCACAAAAACACAATATTAAACATCTGCGAGCCCCTGAGCGGTGAGCGGTAGAGGAGGGAAACCAGCCGTCACCCAGACCCATCACTGTGGGTGTGCAGAAGGTGAGTGCCTCCCGGACTCTTCCCTAGAGATCATCTGGTTTTAAGGTACAATGCCAAGATCCAGTCACTCCTGCTGAATGTTTGCAGGAATCCCAAACCTTTCCTAGAAGGCTCTTAGTTCTACTGCTTCTCTACAAGTTCAAAGTCCCTCTACGTTGACTATATTGAGCTCTCATCTGATGGTCTGACAGCTTGTACTCTCACTTGGGTTCTTAGGTCTAGAGGGTGGAGAGTGGGGGAGGGAACCCACAGGCTAGAATAGAGCTATCACTAATGCAGATGGCCACGTGTGGTGTTTGAGTTTCTGCAAACACCAGATACTTCACTGCACAAAAGCTCTCACCCTCTTCTCTAAAATGTACCAGAGACCCTCAAACCTCATACCTTCCTCCTCAGGCTGATGCTGAAGTGGAAAGGGAGTGAAAGTGCAAAGCTTAAAGCCAGATTTTTTCCTAGCTTTCCACATTTCTTTTTAGAGCATGAGCACATCTGGAATACCACTCTCTCAGAACCACCTGCAGAAGCAGGACAGGACAAGGGCTGAGGGAAGGAAGGAGGTCAGTCCGTGCTGAGGGACGTGGTCCATGGGACCTTTGACACCTGTCAGAGATAGGTCAAACCATTTGGAATAGGCTTTGCTATACATATGATTTTTCTCCGTGACATTTGTGAATGTGTCTACTTCTCAGCAAGATCACAGCTGGGCCCCAAGTCTACTAAACAATGTCAAAAACTTTAACGTGTTGGCCAAGGAGTGAGGAGAGGAGAGTCAAAGAAAAATCACAGCATGTGATTCTGCCTACAGGAAGGCAGGGGGGTTTCCTACCACAGCCCACCAGAGTCTCAGAAGAGGTCATTCTGGCTTTGGAAGTCCTCCTCTGTCAGCCACCTTGCTTTGAGCATGGGTCTCCACTGCCCTGGTTGTCCCCACTCCTTTCCTCCTGGAACTCTAGTCACAGCTATGGTAGAATGCTGGCAGGGGAATCTAAGCACTTGAGTCTAATGCCAGCTCTGTGGCCTTAAGTGCCATCTGCTTTCCTCCATCCATTTCATCATCTAAAATTGAGGCGATCAGACTAGATCAGGAATTGGGATGAGCAGGAGGTGGGAGGTCAATGTGGAAGATGGCTCTGAGGGCCACATTTGGAATCATAAGGAGGAAGGAAGTGATAGAGTAGTCATGTCTGCCACTGGCAAGAGGATGGGTGCTGGACAATGGATACCAAGTATTTGCCACCTTGAACTTGTTGCTCTCAACTCTCCTTCCAGGAGGAGCACTGGGTGACTCTTTCCATCGCCCCCTCCCACACTCACGCTGAGCCATGTATCATTTAAAATTTTTCTCTCCCTGCTCGATGTTGACACATCCTGCTTCCCTAGCTGGATGGCAGATCCACGGAGGGCGTGAGGGGCAGGTCCAGAAAGCCTGGTAGAGCAGTGAACAAAGGCCATGCTCCAAATAACATCAACCCATTTGACGGGTTGTCTTATTGGAGAAATCACTGTCTTTTCAAGGTGCTGGCAAAAAGGACAGAGGTAGCAATTTTCCAGGCCCACAGGGACTCTGTGACCTTTGCTGTGATTTGGCTCCTCCTTGGAGAGAGGATGAGGAGGAAGGAAGTGGAAGGGGAAGTGGGCAAGGAAAATAACATCTTGCCTCTTCCTTCACAATTCAGTAGGCTACATGGAGTCACAAAATCATGAGCAGACAGAGGGACTGGCCTGATTTACATGGGACGAGGCGCCTCCACCCCTTCCTTTCATCAGGCACCGAAAGCATCAGAACACGATGCATCATCAACTCCTCACCACACAGGCAAACCTGCTGCTTTTACGTACACCGTCTCAGAGCTGGGGACTGCCACTTTCTTTCTCCTGTCCTCCCGCCTCATATCTATGTGGAGGCCAGCGACTGGACGACAGTCATCACATAAAACTCAGGCGGGTCCCTCAAGGCTAATTTTACTCTTTAATGCTTGCTCTGTACTAACTGAATTCTCCCTTTCAATCGGCTATTCTAGTCAGAAAAGTTCAAGGAAACATGAATGATGGATTTCCCTATACTTCCATGCAGGGATGGGATGAAGCTCTACTGCTATTAGTCATAAAAACAGATATTTCAAAAAGAACATACTCCCAAATCCTACTGAGACATTGTAGCTCAGGCCTTCAGGAAGCAAAAAGAAGGAAAGAAACAGTCATTATTGCATAGTTAGCATTTGAAGTATCACCTGGACCAAACACCAGACATAGAAAAAAATCAACATTTGCTCACTTATTCAACTTCCATCACTTTGTGTAAATTATAGAACTGAGACAGTGAAAAATTCAATAAGTCATTTTGGGAGAAAAAAAAATCAGAACTTCGGTACATACACAGAGATGGCAGACAGCACAAATAAATGACAAATTCAGTGCCATAAAAGAAAGGCCTTCACAGAAGATGGGGTTGGAATAGCATCAAAAGGCCCTGTGCAGAATGGAGCGTTCAGATCCCCAGGACGGCACTTGCCACTAATTAGTTCTGTTAGGTCTTTTGACTTCAAGTTCAAGGCATCTTGCTAAAAATTCCAACTTCTGAAACACACTTCCAGGCAACCTAAGGCAGCTGCTCAGATTTACATTTAAGAAAACTTGATGCTGTCCACCTCCCTGTGGCAATTCTCATTTCTCATCCATTACAGGGAAACAGCCCACACGAGTCAAGGGCAGAGGAGACTGCCTTGCACAGAAAGGGTAAGTGACTAAAAATACCCAAAGGATGCTCCTTCCAGGGAAGGAGGAGGTGGTAGCAAGTGATAAATATAAGTTTCTAAATGGCAGAAAAACGAAGGGGGCTAGTTGATGGGGGCTTCCTGAAAGGGGCATTTTGCTAGGATAAATATAGTTAATTAAAGTAAAGAATCAGAGTTTCCTCCCATGCACAAATGTGGGGAAAATATCTCCTCAGGAAATTTTTGTTTTCCATCCACAGGCAAAGGGGATGGGGAAGGCAGGAGAGGGTGGCTGTGAAGCACCATTTGAGTTAGAGAAATTGTTGGCTCTCCATTTTTAGTGCCGATGATTAAATGGAACAAATCTTTGTGCGTTTTTACATTCAATTTTAGCACTGATGATTAAATTGCACAAATCTTTGTAAGATCTTAACATTCATTTTTAGGACCAATGATTAAATTGAACAAATCTTTGTATATTCTCACATTCGTTTCAGGAGTAGTGATTACATTGGACAAATCTTTCTAAGATACCTACAGATGAAAAATGAAACAATTCACTACATTTGCAGAGGTTAAAAATATATAATCAGATGTACACAACGGCGATTTCAGAATTCAGGTTAGAAAAACTTCAGTACCCACAGAACTTGAATATCTCTTCTATTTTCTACATCCCCCCATGATGGTTTCTAGTTTAAAACACTTGTAGATTTCTCAGCAATGGTCTCAAAATAAAAAGACATTAAAAAAAATAAAAAGGATATTCTTTGTAAATGATGTTCATGTTTCCTTTAAAAAACAAACAAACAAACAAAAACCAGTTTCAGGAAGTTCTACTTACCTGGAAGACTCCACAAACCAGAAACTTCCAGAGTTCGTAATTTTTTCTCCAGCTCAGCCACCCGACTCCCTAGGATTCTAGAAAATGGACACAAGAGGACAACAGAGTAATGAGTCACTGTCAGCAACCATGGCTGAGGTGGCTGTTGGGAAACCCACATGCCCTAGTAGGAAAAGTTTTGAGATTTAAGATGTATGCTAAAAATGGAGTGTGTGTGTGTGTGTGTGTGTGTGTGTGTGTGTGTGTGTGTGTGTAAATAACCTATTGAAATCACTTATGGAAGCAGAAAGTAACGTGATTACATATGTGTATAAACGTACATTACATAGTATACATATGTATATTACACTCAACATACATATTGAAACACCATTCAAGTGGGTCCTCTTGTACAGGGTGATGCCTGTAGGAAGCGAAACAGTTGTCCTCCACTGTCCAAACCATCTCCTGGGATTTCTGTCTGAGAATGCTTCTTACTAAACACCACAATTTTAACTACCTTTTGCAGTATCTTGGCTTGCTTCTTTGGAAGTGGCTCTGATTTTTGGAAACAACTGAGTCTAATAAGTAAGATGGGTGAACATGCTGGTAATGTTTCTTCTGAGCCAATAAAAATAATAAAATCTGCTTCTTAGACCCAATCACATCTTACTCAAGTCTGCAGCCTGCCTTGGGAGCATGCTGCCTGGTACACGGTAGGTTTTCAGTAAATATATAGTCAGTAAAAATTTGATTCAATAAATGCTTTTCTTTTCCAGAATTTTAAATTGTCTACAGAAAGAATGAAAACAGGCATTCCAAAGAGATTTTAGTACATTCAGAATCAGTTGACCAATTATCGTGCTTTCCAAGATGGCCATTTTAACTCACTAGGATACAGCAGTTCTGGAAGGTGCTCTGGCAAAGACCACACTGTTACTTGAAACTTTGTCTCCAGGCACAGGTAGACATAAATGTGGGTACCCATGCCCCTCTTCCACTCTACACAGAATTAAATATAGTTGGGAGATATTCTGATAGTCATTTAAAACCTCAATCACTTCCCATTGGTGTGGAAATTGAGAACCGAGGAGGTTCTCAGTACTGCTGTGCTAAAACAATGTGGAAATCACCTTAATAGCAGTTTCCATTCTTTTCAGCAGGGTAAATCAGAACACTGGAATTCTTCTCCTGCTTCTCTTTATATTCCAGAGATAACTACATCCACCCACATACGTGCAGAGACATGCATATGTATAGAACAGCACATATGGGAAGCTCTGGAGCTCTCCTTACTTTACCTGAGTTCACCTGCAGCCTTTTCATTAATATTCCCTTTGAATTCACAGAAAACTCTGGTGTTACTATTCGTGACTTTCTTCTCCGAGGTGCTCGGAACGTTCCTTTTCTTTGACTTGAGTCTTAAACTTCTGCATAGTCTTTATCAATTACCTTCAATTTCCACTCCATTTCTTGGGTCTATTTTGCTTCCGTAGACACTGTTCTCACTAATCTGGCTTGCAATATTTTGTCAGCCCCTCTGATCCGAGCTCCCTTTTCACAGCTGATGGGCTTGCGATGCAATCACAGGGGTGCTTGACTGATGCCTGGTTCTTAACAAGATCAGATCAGATTGTGGGTTTGTGGCTGCCTCTTGGAAACAAAAGATAAAGCCTGGCTCCATGGAAGATGCTGAGGGATGCCAGGTTGCCAGGCTCTTTGGAGAAGTTTGGTTACATTTTTGCTGGTATTCCTGGGTAACACAGCCATTTCTCCCAGAAAAGAAAGGAATTTGCTACTGTCTCCAGCAATCCCTGGGGAGCAGCCCAATGTCAGCGCTAGCTGCTGGCTATAATCTGCCACTCACCAGCATCTGGTGTGAGCAGAGGTAACGAAAGGACCCAGCAGAAGTTATGGTATAGGAACAGTGACAATAACACCTTAGACAGCAATGTGAAAGCACCACCACAAACTAACAGCAACTAAGCTTTCCTGAGTCCTTAGCACAAGGCATAGACCACGCTGAACACCTGCCTATCCTGCGTTATCTCACGTAACCACAAAAACCCCGTGGTGTGTATTGCTATCTTCCTTTATGCCTGCTGGCACTAAGGAACAGACAGATTCAGCAACTGGCCCAGGGACACACAGTTCATCTCAAAGCAATCTCACCCACCACACTCTACTCTTCTCATTAGGAATCCAAGGTGGCTAAAGGAAGTTAGTTACCTTGACCAAAACCCCAGGGTAGGAAGCAGTCTGGATTTGTAAGTAGGCCTCCATTTGCCTCTGAGGCATATACCCCAAACCCACTCTCCCAGCGGCACTTTAAACAAGCCACAGCAAGTACGCCTTACAAACTGTTCACAGGGAAATATGGAGCCAGCCATAGGAGACTTCCAAGATGCTTTGAATGACCTGGGGGACCCCCTGTTCAGCCGAGGGGCAGGGGCCACTGACCCTGATGCAAGGCAGCCTGGAAGAGCAGAGGCTACCCCAGCCTCAGTGTCTGACATAACTCAGGATGCAGAGGAGACACAGGAGTACAATTGATTTGCTTGACCCATTCAATGGCCTGCAGCAAGAAAAGAGGACCCTGTCCTCTACAAGGCTGCTGGGAGATGACAGACGCGTAGACACAAACCCACACACAGCGTTATGGAAGTGTAATCTCGGCTGGCCCTGGTTGATCTGTGCCAGGTGTTACGGCTCAAAGCTCTGCACAGACTCCCTGGTCCTTTGCAAACCCTGACCAGGAGCCCTCATTTGTAGCTGAGGGACCTGAGACACAGGGAGATCAACTCATCTCCCAGCTCTACACAGCTGGGAAGCTGTTGGGGCCAGACAAAGACTGCACCTGAAATACACTTCAGTGAGACCCTAGGGCAGAATTGAGTTATGGTAGAAGGGAAGTCCAGAGACTAGTGGGGACCCGCTGGTCAAGGTCCTGTGGCCCTGTTGAGATCGCATACGTGGGCAATAAGGAGCTATGGACTGTTTCTAAGCAGGAAGTGGCACCTTGAAGTCATGTAAGCAGAAGGCCCGGTTGGGAGAATTTCCTCCAGATGGGTGACAAAGTGGCTTAAGCAAGCCAGGGATGGGGGACAGGGAAGCCAAAGGAATAGGCTGTGAGGTGGTAGGTGGGGGCTTGAAGCATCATGAAGCATCGTGGACACATGTGTAGACTTCCAGATCACAGGGAAGGCAAAGATCTGAGTAAGTGGCTAGGGAGCCACTTGGCAGCACAGCTATGAAGCCAGAGATGGGGGCTGCAAGAAGGGGAAGAGAGCCAGGCAGTGTGGAGCCAGCAGGGAGAGCTCTAGGGAAAGGGTGTCAGTGTGGACTTTCAGGAAGTAGTCACACAGACAGAAGTGCAGAAGAGGCCCTTGCTCTTTAGACATTTTAGGACTGTGGCAGGGATGACACTCAAGAGTCCAATTGACAGGGCCAAGAGGAAAGCAGACTGTGAGAAAGGAGAAACTGGATGGCTCCTGAGGGAGAGAAGCAGGAAGGACAGAGGGACAGCCAGGACAGAGCCTGAGACCTGAAGTTCTGATTTTGTTTTTTGGTAGGGTGGAGAGGTTTTATGTAGTTATGGTTGTTTAAGAGAAGAGAGATTTCATCATACACCCATCCACCTAGTAATCTAGAAGACTCCTCAAGGCTCCAGGCCCCCAGATGGACTTTGCAGCATGGCTTCTGATGACAGTGACATTATTGGGGGTGGGATTCGAGATCTAAACTTGACCCTTCTTTATTGACAGTCACACAACTGCCAAGTCTTGGCAAGAAGATGCAAGCTAATTGCCTATTCACTGATGTCACTCAAAATGGACAGTCCTAGGTTACTCATCCTTCTTCAAGATGGCACCCATTGAACTCTCCCTGGGAAGGGGGCAGCTGTGAGCCAGTGGAAAACCAAAGGGGGGTGAGGCATAGTCCATGAAGATACCTTCATTCCTATCTCACTGATCCAGCAAAACAAAGCTATTCCATCATTTCAGTTACAAAGACTAAATCTTGAGAGGTTGTAGCACGTAGACCAAGATAACATTCTATTCTTAGTGTAATTAGTTTGCAGTATAATTAATTTCTTTATGAGTCCCCAAATAAAACATTTACTGAAAGCATGAGGCTTAAGACCTTCAAGTATTAAAAATGGCACTAATTAGGAACCTTACATACTGAGATGAGGCAATCACCAAGACCTACTGTTACTGGGGGAAAGGCAAGGTACAGAGGAACAAAGAAAATTTTTTTAAAAACCAAGCTTTTTCTGTCATGAAAGCCGCTACGATTTGTTTAAGTAATGTACGTAAGTATTTGAGCATTATACCCATAAAATATGCATCTGCTTCTATGTGCTTCTTTTTGAAGGATTCAGAAGAAATAATGGGAGATTCTTCCAGGGAGGAAGAATTTGGGTAGCTAAGAGTTTAGAGATCCATTGTTATTTAACCATGGAGCGGTTTAAAAATTACTTTCAAAAGAGCTAAACATGCAATGGTGCCTTAAAACAAAAATAAACATGGCTACATGAAAACATCAGTCTCTCTCCACGAAGGGAGGACGAGCTTTGCATCTGGGGAGAGTGTGTGTCTGCAGTGGGTATGGTGAGGCACCATGGGAAATCAGTGTGCAGAAAAAAGCTGGAGCTCTCTGCAGAGGAGTGGCAGCCTGGCAGCCTGTGGAGGCCGATGCTGCTGGCAGGAGATGGTGCCCAGCACTGCGGTAGCCAGGTGTGTGTGGAGCTGCCTGAGTGAGGTACCACCTGCTCCTGGGCAGGAGGTGGGGCTGAAGTCTGAGGATGGAGGTGAGGTCCGTAGGGAAGAGACACTCGAGGGCTCACAGCAAGCACTCAGGAAAGGTGTGCTGAAGCAATGGATGCAGGACAGCCACCATGTGACCCCTCAGATGTCTAGACAACAGAAGCAGAGGGTTAGAAGATGATCAATCAGCCGGCCACTCCACTTGTCATATGTGCTCATGTGGCCAGCACTGTCTTATCAGCAGGAGACAAGAGTGAAACCCTCTGGCCTGGGCAGCTCAGACGTGAGTGACATGGAATGCTATCAGGCCTGGTGTGAGGATGGAAGGCAGAACCCCTCACAGATTCTTTAAGTCATGCCTTAAATGCTTGCATGACACTCCATGTCACAGATGGAGTGACAATTCTGATCATTTGACAATTAACAGACATTTGGGTTGTTTCTGTTTTTCCCCCTCTTATAAATGAATCATAGTGAATGACCCTGCGTATACTTCTAGAAGTATACCTCCTTGGTCAAAAGCACAAACATTTTAAGGTATTTTAAGGTAAAGAATGGATGTCCCAGGCTCTAGGTTCATATAGCTGAAAGAATATAAGAGAAAATGTTACCTAGCATTGAAAATGGGGGTGCTGCTCTTGATGGAGCAGCAGGACAAGAAATCTAAGAAGAGACTTTGGAGAAGAGGAGGCAGAGACAGGACAAGGCACGAGGCCTGGGGAGGAGGTAAGAGGGGCAGGAGACAGAGGTAAGAGGTCATATAGGCTTGGGGTGGGGACGAGGAACAGGGAGGAAGTTCAGTGGGTTCCAAGATGGAGATTTGGAATTACAGAGGAGAGACTCAAAGGTGGGGTCGGTGATCTGCTCACTGGTGGCCAGACACGGAAGGGGAAAATGAAAGGAAAGGTCTTTCATGGTAGCAAAGGACTCTCCTGGGCGTACCAAAATCCAGAAGCCTGGGCTCCCCTCCAACAAGCACTCTGAATCTGCAATTCCCTTCCTCCTTTCCTCCTTTCCTCACTTCCTCCCTCCCTCCCTTCCTTCCTCTCTCTCTCCCTCTCTCTTTCCTCCTTCCCTTCTCTCCTTTCGTGTGTGTGTGTGTGTGTGTGTGTGTGTGTGTGTGTGTGTGTGAGAGAGAGACTGGGATTTGAACTCAGAGCCTTGTGCTTGCTAGGCAGGCACTCTGTTACTTGAACCACATCCCAGAGCTTTTTAGTTTTATTTATTAGGATAGGGTCTGGGGTCAGTCTCAGACTACAGTCATCCTATTCGGCCTCCTGGCACACATCGCTACACTTAGCTTGCTGTGGTCTCACTAACTTTTTGCCCAGGCTGGTCTCAAACAGCAATTCTCCCAATCTCTGCTTTCCGAGTGGCTGAGATTATAGAAATGAGCCACTGCACCTGCGACCTTGAATCTGCATTTCTAATCAGATGTCCTTCCCAAGGAACTTCACCACAGGCAACCTTCCAGGACACATATCAACAGGGTGGCCACTAAGGGAATACACGGGGTCTTCTTTATAAGGATTCCAGGTGATTGAAATGGTTGGGAAGGTGGCACGTGGAGGAAAGGCTTTGGGGTTCAGGGTGAAGGGGCAGAAGCCACAGGAGGAAGGTAAAGAAGTTGAGAAAGGAGGTCCCATGGGAGTAAAGCCCACGCAGAGGAGAGGGGTTGACCCCAAAGTGATGGGCCGGTGTTTCTTGCAGATGGGAGGTGCAGAGGGTGGGAAGACATGGGTCTCGGGGGCAGCAGGTGGAGGAGCTCAGCATAAGTGGCCCCTGTTCTCCTGGTGGGGGGGAGTTGAGGTCACTGGCTAAGAAGACCTGGGGCAGTTCCAAGGAGCCTGGATCAGAGCAGGCTCCCTGTGCCCTGCAGGGGTCTTAGACGTGCAGGACCCCCAGTTCCTGGGAAGTAGCTCAGCTCAGCACTGTGCTGTTTTATTTTGAAGAGTGTTGCAAACTTCTCCATTCATAAATCACCCTTGTCTCAGGGAGACTGCCCATCCTCCCTCAGCTGCTGGGGCTTTCTTCCACATACATCTTCATCTCTTGTGCGCTCTGCCCTGCAATGTCTTCTCCATTTTCTATTTTGCTTTCACACTACTTTCATTCATTTTCCATGGCCTCTGCCGGTGTGTCCCTGTCTTTGCCAGCCCGACAATTCTCTGGTCCCTCATCTTCTGGCTCAAAGCCTAGCATTTTGGCCCCTGCTTGGTTTTTCTGCACTTTCATTCTGGTCCCAGGTGTGGGTCTGGTGAGCAGGACTGGCTACGTGATTTGCAGGGCTCTGTGTGACATAAAACTGTGAGTCTCTCTTGTAAAAAATTGTGAATTTCAAAATGGCAACAGAAACGCTTTAGATCAAGTGCCAGGCCTTTCTCAGCATAGGCTGCATGCCACAAAACTGGCCCTTCTGTCATCTGAACGTGTCCCCAAAGTTCCCATAAGGGAAATGCCTTTTTTTCCCTTGAGGTGCTGGGATTTGAGCTCAGGCCTTCAATCTTGCTAGGCAGGGGCTCTCCTCCTTGAGCCACTCCCCCAGCCCTCAGTGTTAGAAACAAAATCCCCAAGTCCATGCTAATGACATTTGGAAGTGGGGCCTGTGGGAGGTGAGTAGGATGAGGTGAGACCATGAGGGTGGGGCCCTCACCATGGCATTAGTGGCTTTATAAGAAGGAACTCCAAGCTGGCACACTCGCTGTGTCTTACCACGTGAAGCCCATGCCATGTCACCAGGCAGCAAGAAGACTCACCTGACGCGGGGCCATGCTCTCAGACTTGCCAGCTGCCCATACTGCAAGAAGTATATTTCTATTTTTTATTTACAAATTACTCAGACTCAGGTATTCAATTATAGTAACAGAAAATGGGCTAATGTATGTAATACTTATTGCTTAATTTATTTACCATTCTCTGTCGCCTCCTTTCACTGGCTTGATTTTATATAACATAAAACCCAGAAAAGACATTCTGTTTTATTTACTGCTTCCTCTCACACTCTTCTTAATTTTTTATTGCTTATTTGGAAGAACAACATGAGACTCTGTGCTAGGCCCAGCTGCCTCTAAAAGTTGGTCCTGGGTCATTCCTGCTGTTCAGACCCCTCACTGTCAGGCTGTAAGGTTGGTGTGGTGCTGAGGCAGCTCTTCCCCAGATGGGGATCTGGCAATGGCAACCACTGCGAAATATGGATACCTCCGTGCACAGCTCAGAAGAGGCACCAGGTGGGTGACAATCAGTGTCCGCGCCTTCCTTGATTCCTGTGGCCGGCCAGATGCCTAGCTGTCCTTGCTACAAAGGTTTTCTTCTGGACTTTCAGGAGTTCCCTTCTCCTGAGAAAAGCTCCACCTTCTGCTACTCCCCTGCGGGAACCCCACCAGTCTGTCTCCCACATCCCACCCTCACCCCAGGAGCCGGCCACCTACTTGTTGGTTTGTCGCTGGTGCTGAATGACCATGTTTTTCTCATGGATCGTTTCCAGCAGGGCAGTTGCCAGGGACTTCAGGTCAGAGATGGACTGCGGGGTGGCGGGGAGGCTGCACCCGTGGTCCTCGGACAGCAGATCCTGGACTAGGTACACACAGAATTGACAGCTCAGTGCAAGTTCTGGAACGAAGGTGCAGATCAACAAGGGTCAATTCTGCCTGGATGATGGGAGGGGCCCAGCTTTGAAATGCTGCTGTATTGAATTGAAGCCTAACTCAAGTGTCAGAGGAGGATAAAAATAGGTAAAATAGAAAGAAAGAAGTCCTAATGGACTTTTAGCTGCAGTTTCTTCCTTTTTTCCTCTTTCTTTCTCTCTCCCATTCTCTCTCTCTCTCTGTTTTTTCCTGTGGTGCTAGGGATTGATCACAAGGCCATGCATGCACTGAGCTGCACAACTGTCATCTGAAATTTTCTTTTCCTTGGTGATACTGGGGATTAAACTCAGGACCTCCTACTCTACCACTTGACCTCAGTCCTAGCTCTTTTGCTTTGAGTTTGGTTTTTAGATAAGGTCTTATGCTTTTGCCTGTGCCAGCCATGGATGGCGATCCTCAGTCATCCATCTCCCAAATAGCTGGGATTACAGAAATGCTACCACCGTGCCCAGCTGCCATTACAACTTTTAAAGAGAATATTATTTGTATTTCCCTGGTATGTTAAAACACCTTATACTAATTCATTGAGACTTCAAATTGGAAAAAAAAATAAAGCGAACCTCCCTGGGACATATTATTTACTTCTCTTTCATGGACAGGACAGCAAGGTGCAGATGGATTAAAAACCCTGACTAAAGCTCACACTGCCATGCCAAGACAATGACTCCTTTATATTAACTTCCCACAGTGTGACACCCCTGGCAGGTGGCAGGACAAGGAGTGAAAGATTTTGTGGGTGTGTTTTAGTAGCTTTGTGTTAATTTGAAAGTATTATAGAAAGGAGAATAAATGGCATAACAAAATCAGGAGAAAGCCAAGCAAAAATAGTCACTTTAAAATTGACCTATGAAGTAAATAGAAGCATAAATGGTACAAAGATAAGGCAAAGAATTACATAGCAACCCGCAAAGGTCTGAGTTGGGAAAGAATTCATTACACACAGACTGGTCATTCCCAGATGCTGGTTACTCCACAACCTGTCAAGTCACAGTCAAGGCCAAGTTCAAAACAAAGCCAAGCCATGCACACAGGTCAGTATAAGAGCAGGATGGAAATGCAGACAAGGCAGCCCATGGCTGTGCACACCCAGCCTGGATGAGTGTCTGTTGACGAGTCTCCAGTAATCTGGGGAGGGGCTCTGATAGGAAATGTGCTCACTTTTATATGTATTTAAATAACTTCTGATTCCTTTTTACCTATAAATGTATAAATATTCCAGGTATGGTATCATTACCTTAGCACATAGTAGGACCATTGCATTTTTTATGCAAAAGATCATACTTCTGTTAATTTCATTTGCATGTAAAATTTAATTTACATCTTTGGCAAAACACCATTGATAAACACGAGAATACTGTCTGCTGAAATCTCTGACTTTTTGTACATGATGCTGCTAAAACTCTGCTCCTTCATTTATGTGTGGCTGGGCTCAAAATGGCTTAAATTAGGGCTAGGCACATTGGCTCACCCCTGCAATCTCAGTTACTCAGAAGGCAGAAATTGGGAGGGCACAGGCTAAAGGCTGTCCCTAGGCAAAAATCCGACCTCAATAGACCAGGTGAGTATGGTGGTACACACCTGTGATTCTAGCAACAAGGAAGGCATAAGTAGGAGGATCCTATCTAAAAACTAACTGAAGCAAAAAAAGCATGGGGAGTGTGGCTTAAGTGGTAGAGGGCCTGCCTAGCAAGCATGAGGTTCTGAGTTCAAACCCCAGTACTGAAAAAATAAAGACAAAAATTGCTCTTAGAAGCCACCAGCCACTTCTACAGCATGGGCCTGATCAAACCGTGGAACGTCTGTTTCTTCAGTTCTCTACGCTACAGCCATCCAGACGCTCCTGTACACAGGTCCTTTCTGACTCAGAGCGGTCCATTCTTAAGTCTGGCCTGGAGTTTGTGAGTGCACCGATTCATCCCACCCTTCTTAAAATAAGTCATGTTTTTAGAAAGGGTAGTTAAACCCACAGGCAACACAGAAAAGCCAACAACCATGGTACTCTTAGAATCCAGAAACAGTGTCAGTCTGTTACTATCTATCTTTCAATGCCACTTCCTATGTGACTATTATAAATTTACAAATTCATACAATATCTTTTTCTTCAAAAATGGAGAAAAGCCTTACTTTTTTTTACTTGACAATATTCCACATCACAAGTATCCCCTAAAACATAAAAACATTTAATGGCAGCTTTAATGGTCCAGAGATAGATATATAATAACTTTCTTGACTACTGCTGGATATTTACATAGTTTTTTTTTTTTTAGAACTAATAGATGAAAAATTTTGCTGTAGCAAAATCTTGGCATATGTCCATTTCTTGCTAGTTTCGGGAGGTAGGGGGTCAGCTTAGTTTTTCATAGGGGCTGTCATAGATTGCTGAATGTGGGTTACCAATACCAATACACCATTGGTGATAAGTTTCTCCTACAGATTTTCTAGAAGGCCTGGGTCACATTGACCTTTCCATACTCGCAGCTCAGGGGCAGGCCAGGGGTCCACAAACTAAGCTGGTTTGCTACATTCAGTGCCCAGGGCTGACCACACACGGGCTTCTTCGCAGTTTATTAGAGTACTGTGGTTTTCTTTGTAAGAACAATCCTGGATGTTCTTTCCTGGTTGACTGGGAAAGAAAGAAGTTGCTTGGAAAAGAGCCTTTGTTGTTAGGTACACCGGAGACTCAGCACTTGTTTTTTTAAAGCCACTCCAGCTCTGATTAAGTCTGTCACGTAATAGTTGCTGGTCTGCGCTGCCAACAACCAAAAAGTGGGCCAGCTGAGCATGTGTGACTCCGGGTTTCTGTTTAGAACTGACTTCTAGACATTAAGTGTCAGCGCAAGGGCTTTGCTATTTATTCCCCTGCACTGTTCCTGGAAGATCATTATTTTTCACCGGAATCGACAAGGAGGCAAAAAATTCCAATCAATGAAAGCATCTTTGAAAAAGGCCCATGCTCTGTGGCAAAATGATTTCAGCCTTTCCATGCTGACCACAGTGGCTAGAAGGAGAACTCAAGGAGACTGAGACCATCTTGAAGCTGTTAGGTGGGTGACAAGGGAAGGAAAAACATTCCTGAAAGAAGAACACAGCATAGGGGAATCTACCCATTCGGGGGTCAAGTCACTGCCGTGGTTCTCAAAGTGGGGTCCCCGACCTGGAAACCACAGAGTCATGCAGAGTGTCAAGGTTCCCATCACAGTTCCTGAACTAGGAACTCTGGGGTGGTTCTGGTGATCGGTGCTGTCACTAGCCTTCAGGTGACCCTGATGCAGGTGGAGGTGTGGGAAGCTCTTCTTTTAGGGTCGCCTCTCTTCCTGACCCACACACCTCACAGCACGGGTGTGACAGAGACCACAGCGCTAGCATTGCACGTTCATAAGTAGTCCTACCTGGAGACGAGACCCTACCTTGCTTTGCAGACAGGACTCCAGTCAGAGCACTGCTGCAGGACTTGCCCTGGTTCTTTGAGTTTTTCCGTCTCTCAAGGGCATTCTACAGTGGCATGGGGAGAAAATAAAGACCTTTGTCAGAGAAGCCAGCAATGGGAAATACCTGGTTACGCTGGTTACAGGACACACACCCCCACCTGTGCACAGGAGCCCCCATAGACTCCAAATGCTGGCTTAAAACACGTACTTCTCAATCCTGAGGATTTTTACTGACACAGTAAAGAAATTTTTTCAAAAATTTCAAAAATTTTCTGCTGCATTGTAGAATGACAGTAATTATAGTTTCCTTCAAAGGCGCTCAAAGTGTGTTCATTAAATTAAATCAAAGCTGACATAAGAACACAGTCTAAGGTGAAATCACTGGAGAAGGACAGGCCTTTGGAGGAGACGTGCGATGGAGAACAGGTTTATGGTCATGTACCAATGGGCGTGTCTGGAAGGACTCGACCCCTGGATTGGACAGACAGCCACAATCGATTAGTGATGTCTGCCATGCACGCACGATTAAGAAGGTGTCGTGGCCTCCTATGCACCATTCTTAGAACAGACTCTCATGTTCAAGCTGATACGTAGCACATAGCCAGTCTCGGCACAGAGAACAGAATAAATGGTGAGTGAATGCACTCACATGGTTTTTAAAATTCTGTGTTAAAAGCTGCATGTGTATGTTTAGATTAGTGTAAATGGGTGTGTGGCCTGTGGGATGGAATGACCTGGGGGCTCTGAGAACAAAAGCTAATGCCAAGAACCAGGACGAAGGGCTGGCTCTCCCAAGCATCTAGGCAGCTGAAACCCTCTCCCTCCGGAAAAGAAATCAATCTCTCTCCAAAGCAGAGAAACCAGGAGAGTTTTCTAATTACAACATTCACAACTAACATCTGCAGAAATAGATATTATCAAATGAATGGGGCTGGAATTAGACTACATACCAGAGGGGAGGATTTAAACATTTTGTCCCTTGAGTGTGGCACAAATACTGGTATTTGCATTGTGATCTTGCAATCTGTTTCCTTATTCCTTGGAAACCAGTTTCTCATGAATTACTGAAACAGACAGCTTCTGACCAGGGATAATGCACAGGAGCCAGAATTTTCTATGGACCGGGGCTAAAAGGTAGGAAAGCGCAGATTTTGGAGGTCTCAGGACACCTTATCCAGTGACAGCCACAGAAAGGGCTCTGGAAAAAGCTGGTGTGGCAGTGTTCAGTGACGGGATTTGTTTTTACTGGCTACCCTGGTTAAGGCTCTTTTGGGGCTCGATCTGGGAGGACAGGCAAGCACTAAAATATCTTTGGCGCATAAAAGAGAATTAAAATAGGACGACATTTAGATGTATGGTGGTGAATCACCAGCATTGTCAAGACTTTGTACCTTGTATTTAGCAATGTTGGATTTCAGGAGGCTGACCTCTTCATGGAGTTGTTTTAATCTCTCTTGAAGGTATCTGGAAAAGAATACTAAATTATAGGAAGAAAACATGAAAACCTCTGGCAGAAGAGTCCCCACTTTGCACACAGTGCCTTCCTCTCCTTTCCAGAAAGGAGCAGGAAGAAAACGTGCAACTCTGTGACCTTTTCCTCAATGCATACGATCAAGGTCAAACATGCCCAAATCACAGACACCCACTTTAAAACAGCCCTCGCAGAGATCCCCAACGGGGTAGCTACATAGTTTTCACATAATTCTCATTAAGATGATTCCTTGGGGAAGGAAAGCAGGCAGAGGCGACACCAGGCAGAACATTAAGTCAGACACATACACGCAACAAAATCTGCCTGGGGGGAAAGACACAGCTAAGGGAATTTCTCAATTTATTTTCTTATTCTTTTCCCTCTCCTTGACAGCAATAACAAGCAGCTCTCACTGGCTCCTCGCCCTTTTGGCCCAGGCAGGGAGGGTGTGGGGAGAAAGAGAGGTGTCCTGTGTCTCTTGTTGCTTACAACAGGTACATGACACAGCATCATTTGGGGTCCGGACTTCCTTTACACTTGAAAGACAATTTTCTCAAATGCAAACAGGGTTGCAAATAAGTCCCAGCCTGTCCCTGCCCAGGGTACCTGCCTTTCCCCAAGCATGGTGGGCCTGGTCACTTGCCTATTCTCCATGCACAGGGCATCCACATCAATGATACGGTTCTCATGCCCGCCCAGGATATGGTTGAGCTCCTGGTTCAGCCTGTCCACTTTGTCCTGGTAGGAAGTCCGCTCCTCCTTAACATCCTGAAGCTCGTCTACGGAGGCCTGAAGGTCATGCTCCAAAGACTCGATCTGAAAGTCAAAGGCACACCCTCACCAAGGTGGTCCTCAGACACGGCCTTCCTTCAGTGCCTGCACTGGCTGGCTGACCCTTAGAGAACTCTGAGTACCTCCGGCATGCTCCAGAGACACACTCGAGGCCCACTGGAAGCCAGGAGATGCCTTCATAGCTGGGAAGCCAGCCCCGAGCCCTGGGGCCCCAGGCTCAGAGAGGGCACTGCCTGCGGTCTTACAAATTCAAGCTTTTCCAACCCACTGTAGACCTAGGAACCGTGTTCCGCTCTTCACAACCAATTAGAAGATTTAGGAAATGAAGTCTCAGCTCTCCTGGCTGCTTCATAACTAGGGCTCTACCCACCGAGATTTTGCCTGAGAAGCATCGCTCAGCATTTTAGTGGAAACTTGCAAATTAAGGCCAGTTTGTCACATTTCGTTCCCTCCCTGTCTATCTTGGGAGATATCAAGGGAGATTTTCTTGGGCTCAGAACAATGAGGGAAGCAGGCTGCTGGGAGCCAGACACCCAAGGGGGAAAACCTCAGAGCCTGGCCATCCTCTGTATCTACTGTACGTTGTGTCCAGTCCAACCTTGTAAACGCATCGCCCACAAGGACTCCAGCCATCACCTGCTCCTTGGCCCGCTCCAGCTGCTGGACCAGGTCTTCCCGCTCATGGGCTGCAAAGTGCCGCACACCCATCTCTTCATCCCCGAGCCTTTGCTTGGCAATTGTCATCCTCAACAGCTGCATTTGCCATTAGTAGGAAAAGGGAGGGAGGGAAAGAGAGAGAGAGAGAGACTATGATGAGAAAACTGACATAAAAAATTCAAGGACATGAGACAGAAACTTCTGGAAGAAGGATTGCTACTGGGAGAAAGCACAAGACAAATTGCTTCCCAATATTATGATGTTTTAAGACAATTAAAATTGCCTTGTGATTGGTACACGTGCACACACAGTGTGAGGCTGGTGGGAATCCAGGCCTGGAGCTGGAAGGTGGACAGATCTACTGCTACAGTGAAGAAACAACTTCTGGGTCTCACTGGAATTTAGCAGAGTCACCATGACAGCCCAGTGCAGGTAAGGATTTGCTGGAACGGGCGCGCCCCATGCTCTGAACGACTAGGTGATGCTATCAAGATTCCGACAATCTGGGCAAAGAACAAATCCAGATATGGACTGGCTTGAGAACAGAAACAGTAGGTTGTTTTCTTATTAGAGTCCTAAAAGTAGAAACAGTGCTGAAGGTACGGCAGCCACCACACAGCCAGTCACTGGGCCAACGTGCCTGCAAAGGGGGGTTGTAGGAGTCCATGGGACATCCTGCTGCTATGTTAAGGGAAGAAAGGATACAAATTTTCCATGCCCTAGGATCAAACTTGTGCTTATGCATACAAGAATAAAAGACCAAATAGACCCAAACCTCAAATATACACGTTCAGGAAGTCATGTACATGCTTCTGTTCTTTTCCTGGTTTTCTAACTTTTAAAATTGGTACACATGAATTTCATAGTATACCTTGTTTTGTTTTTGCAGTACTGGGGTTTGAACTCAGGGCATCGTGCTTGCTAATCAGGCACTCTACCATTTGAGCCTCTGTACCAGCCTTGTTTTGTGTTGGGTGTTTTCAACACATGGTCTCTTGAACTATTTGCCTGGGGCTGGCTTTGAAATGTGATCCTCCCGATCTCTGCCTCCTGAGTAGCTAGGATTACAGGCATGAGCCACCAGTGCCCAGCCTATAGTATACCTTTATATTTTAAAATCCCTAGGAAGAAAACTGTAGCCTTCACAAATGGAAATTTCCAAAGGATTCCTGCAGAACTGTAGCTTCTCCACACTCTGGAGTCAAGCCCCACCTGTAGCTCTCACCCTTTGAGGAAGGGCCACAATGGGAATGAGATGAGAGGCCTAGGAAGAGCTGGTGGTCTCAGAGCACCCTTGTCCACTCATCTTAAGAGATCATTTTTCAGGAGACTCCAGGGCTTAATTTTCAAAGTCTTTGAAGGACTTCAGGGCAGGTGAGAGATAGGAAGTTCAGTTGAACCAAGGTAGAATATTAACTAAACTGAAATAATAACTAATAGCAATGAACTTGCAAAGCAATGATGAACTAAAGAAAAGCCAAAAGCATTTTCTAATGACATTAAGTTTGGGTTCTTAGCTGAAAACTATGCAATTGAGTTCTTGATATTCACTGGGTGCCATGAGCCACTGCACCCCTGGTGACCGGTGGGCAGCACTGACCGCACAGGGCCTGGCGGACACTGGAGGCTCTCACGTACGCATGGTACTCATCATGTCCCACTGCCAGAGTCCTTCCTTTTTGCTCCTGGCTGAAATAAAATTTATTTTATCCCAAATTTAACACTAGAGGTCAGTCGCGGTCACAATGGGACACGTGCAGAGTGGTGAAAAACTTGAGTGCCTGACACAGCCATTCCCAGCCAAGGTAGGCAGGCCACCTCTGCCTTCCTATTTCAGCTCTCAGACTGCAAACGAGTGGCCTCTGCTTGGTCTAGCTAGTGCCACGTTGTCCTTTTTTGATGATTTTGCTGTTTGATTAGAACTGATGGGATAGGATACGCTGTTAAGGATACCTACGTGCTGTGTGTGATGGTCACATCAAGGTGGTTAGCATATCCACCACTTAAACATTCATCATTTGTCATGCAAATATTCAAATTCTTCTATTTTGAAATATACATTACTGCTAACCATAGTCACCCTACTTTGCAACAGAACAGTCCCCTAGTCTAACTCTGTGCCGTGACCCATCGCCGCTCCACAGCTTCCTCCCAGTATCCTCCTCCAGCCTCCCTGGTCTCTGATGACCACTGGTCCCTTCTCCACTTCTTGGAGAACCTTTCTTGGATTCCACCTCTGGACGAGATCATGACTACTTGTCTTCCTGTGCCTGGCTTACTTTGCTCAATATAATGTCTTCCACATTCATCCATGTTGGCACAAATGACAGAACTTTATCCTTTTGTAAGGCCAAGTAGTAGTCCATTGTGCATATATATATATACCACATCTTCTTTATTCGTTCATCGTTGATGGACTCTTGGGTTGATCCCGTATCTTGGCTATTATGAATAGTGCAGCGATGAGCACAGAAATGCAGGCATCCTTTTGATATACCTCCATACCATTTTCCATAGTGGCTGTGCTAATTTACATTCCCGCCAACTGTGCACAAAGCATTCCCTTGCATGATGACCGCACATAGGCTGCTGACATGCTGGCTAGTGTCCTTAAGGGCTAGAGGCTGTGACATGTCTCCCAGAAAAAATACTCATGCTAAATAAGCTTCCTCTGGGCAGAAGTTATAGGACTGTTGAACTCATTAGTTCGATGTTAATGAATTAACCATCTATATTAAATAGGGTGACTTTAAACAGAAGACACATTAAACAAAGCTAGGATTGACTGACTGATAAAAACACTGGCCACAGGCTCCAAGGAAACCTGCCCCATCTTCTCAACAGTTCAGTATTCCCAGACTCAGCGTGCATGTTTACAGCAGAGCTGTGCATCCAACCGAAAGCAGAAGTGTGCAGACATCTTTCCCATCACACAACGCTTGGCTCAGGACATCAGAATTCCAAAGTAGACATACAACCGTTTTCAGATCCCATGGTCTGGAATGAGAGAGCTCATACCTTCTTGGCAGGAGGCCACGGGAGGCTGGGGCTGAGACTTTGAAAGCTGGGTATTTTCCCTGATGTGTGAAAAGCAGACTGGCGCCTGAACTTTAAGCAATAAAACACCACCACACTATAGCCACAAGGCGCTTCACTGCACACTCAATTTAGAATTGCACGATTATGTTTGCTTAACACCAATTAATTATTAAACATGTTTATTGAGGTCTGACAGCCATATAAGGGAGTCATCTTTTATACACTGGATAACATTGAAGCCTCAATAAATGCATGAATAATCACGCTGTCCAACGTACACAGTGCATGGGCTGTTAACAGTGCAGGCAGCACTGGTGGAAACACTTATTTTTAGAAGTGAGGCCCAAGTTGGTAATAGCTGGGTCATTAGTTAAGTGTGAAACTCAAGTGCAGTGAGCAGAGAGGCCTGAGGAGGTCAATGTCATAGGCGTGGAAATCTGGTGAGAGCTCTGCCTTCCTGCAGGACCGTTCACGGGCTCTGGAGTCAGCTGCCTATCGCTCCCATCAGGCTCCCCAATCTGCAAGCTGTGCACCCTGGAGGATGTGCTAGACATCTCTGGGCCTCAGCATCCTTGCCAGTAAACCAGAGCAGTATGGGATTGAGGGCGCTGTAAACGTGACATAAGAGACAGTGGAAGTGCATTCAGCAAGTGCTTAATTAGGAGACGCCATATATATGTATGTATGTGGAGTCCATCCACGTGTGTGTATGTGCGTGTGTTAACGTGTGTGATTAAAAACACAAAACAAGGGAGGAAGAGAGAAACGTGAAGAAGAGGGAAGCAATTTTTTTTTTAATGGAGTGATTCTAGCCTCTCCTCTGCTCAGTGCCCCAGGTGGGAGTGAGGTAGGAGAGCTTATATTATTACACATATTTTACACTTATGCCAGGTCGTATTGTCCGTCTTTACACATCACAGGGAGACCCAGGAGCACATGTACACCGTGTGCCCTGAACTGTGTGGACATCTTAAGGACCCACCGTGGACCATCAGAAGAGGTCCTCTTTCCCGCTGCCCTTGGTCCCTGTCCCTTGAGAGAGTCTGTGGTTCTTCTGTGTGACACTTGCCCCGCCTCTGAGTATGAGAGGTGCTCAACAACTGTCAGCTGCTCTTCTGATTCCTGCCATTGTCCTCTTCCTCCACCGTGAAGGGTTCTTCCACTCGAGTCGCTCTCTCTTCTGAGCTGGATGAAGCCGGGCTCCTGGGCCGAGGTTATCCCCAGGATGCAGGCAGACCATGCTGATTTCCCCTTGGAAAAGGCTCTGAAGCAAATGTTCAGGAATCTCAATTCCAAAATCCAGACTGTTCCAGGCCCCTGCCAACCTCCCCACGCCAGCTCCCACAGTGGATCTGTACCCTGCTTGGCACCCACTCAACACTGAGAGATGCATCCATTCGCTGATTTAGAGAGAAATAAATGTTTATGAATGAATTACAGGCTGACGACTTAGCCTGTAAACGAGGCCCAGCTGCAGCTGGGCTGTGCCTGAGGGACAAGCTACAAAACAATGCAGTAAAATGGCTTCCCGGCTGCCACCGCCCTCCATCAGGCCTCTGCAGGCTCAAGTCGGAATGACTGGCTCTTTCCTTGGTCTCTTCTCAGGCATCCTTTCTCACAGCCCTCAACATTCTCTACCTCATCTTGTTTTCATTCACCTGAATCCACTTTATCCACTAGCCAGCGAGAGGCAGCCAGATGTGGGAGCCACTGCGCTTCAGGTGTAATCTGTATTCAGATCTTGCTTCTACTAATCCTACCTGTGTCCTCCTGGTAAGCTATCTAAACCTTGCTAAGTCACATGTGACTTGTTTTTTTTTTTAAAATAAGGATAAAAGTTATCTTGTAGACAGGATAGCCATGCATGGTGGCCCAGGCTGTGCACTGCCCAACTCCAGCTCCAGGGGTTTCCGTTCCCACAATGTGAAGATACAACACAGTGATCGCCATTCATGTAACTCTCCATAGAGTTTTAAAGTGCAACTCCCAGTTGTAGTGGATGTAGCTGTGATTCTGATTGATGGCTCCCTGTTTGTCAGGGCCATTGGGAGAGTCAG